GCAGGAAGAATTCAAGCTTGTAGCTGATGGATGTTGCTGAGGTAAAAATTGAACACAACCCTTTTTTCATTCTTTCTAAGCTTCTCATTAACATCAGCAATTATTTCAGTCTTTCAGCATTTTCAGAAGATCATTGACATGGGAACTTGTGAACATTAAGATTCTTTATATCACTATGAGCACGCACCTATGCTATTTTTACTGATTTCTTGTTTCATATAAATTATTTTGATAATAACATAACTAAGCGGTTTTCATATCTTTAAGAGTTAAAACTAAAACAGAATTTTCCGTGTATATGATAATAGATTTGATTTTCTTTATGCATGAAGTTGTTGTTGTTTTTAAGCGTGGACATAAGATCAGTCCCTGAATACAAGGTTTCTGTCTTCTTTTTCTGTTTTGGTTAGTCTACTGTCATGAAAGGTGAACCAAGAGAAAGTGTTATCTTCTTGCACGGGAAGCATAACCAAACCTCTGAGGAGAAATATGCCATCACACCAAGTAAATTTGGCTGTCATGTCAAACTTTCTGAAACGTGGATAAACTCAGCTTCAAACATCAAGGACTTGTGACAGTAAAACGAAGAGTGAAGCTTCAGAAAGGAAACTTGTGGTTGCTGTTTAGCCTTGTGGATTTGCTTTACCAGAATGTTTAGTGAACTTTAATCATGTGTTGTTTACTTTGTTACATATGTTTGTATTTGATGCACTAGTATATTTGTGTTGATGAAGATTATCCATGCCTCTGGATTCTGATAACTTAATTGCTAGTTTGTACAATGCAGGACAGCTAATCATTACGTAATTTTCTGTTTTCACTTTCATTATTGCGAATTACAAAAAGTACTACATGGATTCAAAATATTGTATCATGAAAGCAAACATATTATTCATACTAAACCAAAAAAAACTTCAGATTCAAAAGCAAATAAGATCTCCATGAAATGATGATACATAATTAGCAGATATCAGACGTATTAGCCAATTGATGGAGTCCTTGTGACTTTGTTAGATTCATCCACATACAATCGAACTCTCTTAGGATTATAATCTGCAGTGACAAAAGAGTCATGAGGCACCACTTGAATTTGAACATCACTCATCTCTTCTTTGATCTTAGTTTCTGCTTCTTCAGCAGTGACACCAACCAGTTCAGGCCAACTTGTCTTTGTAGGAGTGTTAGTTTCCAAAGCCTGCTTGTAATTCCCTGCACACCAAACATACTTTGATACTGTTCATACACATTCATGAAAGTTTTATCAAATGTGACTTGAACATATTTGAAAAGAGGAAGAATAGTACTCACTTGGTAAGGGCACATTGGGTTGTTCCTGAGAAGGGTTAGTCCCTTGTTCTTGCTTTTCCTCAGCCATGAACACCAAACAATGTGTAGTACTCAAAAAAGGATCCTTTGATGAAAGTTTTGTTGAGTTTGAATGGTTTAAGTAGAGGCCATGGAAACTCTGAATCGGTGGAGTTTGGTTTTAGCTTGCCACCTCTTTTGGAGTTTTGCATGTTCAGATGATTAAGCTGATTTTTCCAATGCCATATGCCTCAATTTTGTAGTGTCACGTAAGCCACCTAAGACTATTTTAACACATGATAATGCTATTAAAGTCTTGCTTCATTTTATAAATCAAAATTTGACCTCTTTCTATGTATAATGAATACTTATGTTGTAGTTTTATATCAAGTAATCTTGAATAATTTAATATTTTTATGAAACTTCTACCATATAACATATTTATTTATTCTAAGTTAAGAACCCATAATTTCGGTGCATTTGTTGTCAAACTCTAATTTTAAAGGCTCAACTTTATTTTAATTTGTTTTTTCAAGATTAATTTAATACTAAAGTTGAAAGACTCATTCTTACTTTTATATATTTATGAATTAAATAATTTTTTAATGTCTAAGTTCGCAATATCTTTGCGTAATGTAGTTGATCATTTTGCGTAATGAATCTTTTATGTTTTATTCTTTTCATCTTTGTCGCAGCTAAGGTTTAAGAGGCAGGATAAGGCATTACGGAAAAGACAAAACGTTGTGGTCGGCAAACTTAGGCAGCTAGTGGGCCCTGTCATGGCCGTTTGTATTTAAATGTAAATATAATAATAATATATTATTTTTAATATATTTATAGAAATTAAAATGTTGTTCTTTCTTTTCTTCACTAAAGATTTTTATAATATAAATCCTTTCTTCTAATAAGATTTTAACATTATGTAAAAACAAGATTTTATGTAGTCAAAATGGCATTAGTTTATACAAAAATTATGTACAAATAAATTTAATAGGAATTTTGTAAATAAGTTGGTACTTATGTTAATAGATTATTATTAGAATAATTGTAAAAATAATAATAGGATGATATATGTTTATATTTATTTGATACATATTAAAAAAGTAAAATAATTATAAAAAATAAATTAATGTACTTTAAAAAAAAGAATAATAATATTAAATAAATATGAAAATTTTGTGTATGAAAATATCTCTCTAGTTATTTAATGTACAGTGAAATATAAATTGTGTTTTGAACTAATATACATACATATTACATTACTTCTAATAGTAACCGATGTAATAAGTACAACATACTATATTCCTTATATAATAAGTACAGCATACTATATTATTTAAAATATTTAAAATTCTTTGTGAACATAATGATAATAGAGTTAAATTTCAAATTTTTTATACTTTTAAAATATTTAAAATTCTTTTTATTTCATTTATTTAAAATATTTTCCAAAATTCTTTAAATTTGAATTTATTTCTAATTATTTTTTCCAAAAATAAATAAATAAATTATCTTTCTAAATTATTTAATCCAAACACAACATAAAGAAACTTGACGTAAGATAATCTTCTTACCTAAATAGATGGTGCGCATGATCATACTTACTTTTGGGCAACTAATGGTTGATGTTAACAATGGTATGGATGTCAAAATGATCCTCCATATGGTACCACTATTACTATTGTGGTCGTCAATGTTGCATATGGCTTTCCACTACAAGCATGGAATTTTGGTATAAAAAATACATTCTAAATCAATTCTTGAATTCATTGACGTATAAAAAGTCTCATTTTTTTAATAAATTATTTGTTTTGGATCCAACCCAATACCTGTAATACAATAAGTAATTTCCAACCACACAATTTGAGCAACAACAAAACACTTATAATAACTATGCGTATAATGAAACTTCTAAAATGATTTATAAAATCATAACAAACAATTTATTTTAAAATTATTAAAATTACCAATGCTTAAAAATATTTGTCCAAATTAATGTTATTAAAATATATCATAAATTAATCAAATAGAATGGTGAGATACCTACTTGTATGTAGTATATAATATGTTTGTTCAATCATATTATACTAAACTATGTGCAATATCATAAACAATATAGGCCATAAGTTGCATAAAACAAGAATAATTTGTAAAAAAATTTAGTTTCTCATTATTCAAACTTCATTCCCTCCCTTTTAAAGATCTTTGATTCAAGATCAATACATATTAACTTTTGGTAACAAATTACAAATATTAATCAAAATAAATATCTATTCTTTTGGTAACATAATAAACGCACACATTTATAAGATACAAATGATTAAATAAAAAAGAAAAATAATAATAAAATATCTATTTGATAATATCATATTTGGAATCTTATTTTAGAGAAACAATAAGAAGAATAATAATTTCAACTGCAAAAAAAAGTAATAATAAAGTCAAAGAATCTCCTTGATAAAGAATAATCACATAAAGATAAAGTTAACCCATATATTATATGTATAATGCTTACCTAACGAATTAATTTGTCTGATGTACCAATAATTAATAGTTAATATTAATATAAAAGTATAATTGTTTGAACTCATGTACTTTCCTATCTCTCTCCAAAATTCCTAATTTGTTTCCATATCATCTTTGTTCTTTGTTATAAAAAGAAAATAATTAACATAATTCCTGTTTTTTACTAATTCAATAATCAGTATAAAATACTTTTTTTAAACAGTGTAAAAAAAACTTTTATGTACTAATAATTGTTAATAGTTGTTAGAGTGTCATGCTGCATGTGAAATTGAGATTTTTTTTTATAAACCACCACATGTGAAATTAGAAAATAGAAAACACTTTCATTTAATTTAATCTTACAAATTGGCTTTTAAATAAAAATAAAATCTTATTTATATACGAAATCAATATTATTTTTTGACTAGTGTCAAGCTTTTCAGAGACTACAAAATTCAAAATAATTAGCACTGGTATATGTTAACAATGATTAATACTTTCAACATGACAGCGCATTGACTCTTGAACAAGTTTATTTAATTAAACAACATCGAACCGATTCAAGATTTATTTAGTTAAAATATATCGGTAATCTTAAATTTAAGACTTATATTTTGTAAATCTTTATTAAACTATATTCATATGGCACGAAAAAAAGCGGTAAATTTACTTTTGAATTTTAAATAGGATCCGTGTTTTATGATTATTATTTTTTTCAATCTTAGCAAAATGTAATAGATTAATTATTTAATTTAAAATTCCAAATAGTTTAAAATCAAAAGAATTATAAACAAGTACAAAACTTACAAGAAAGTGTTAAAAAGGATATTATATGATGAGATTGTTAAAAGTAAAACAAGACTTAAAATTATAACATTATGAATTAAATTACAATCGAGACAAAATAGAAATCTTAAAATTAAACATAAATGATAAAGGTGGTTTTAATCAGTACTATTTTGTTCTACCTAAATTATACAATTGAGATTATTTTGAGCATTCCATATATGAAGATGGCGAAAAGGGTTTTAATTAATTTTATATTGATTACATTAAAATGTAAAGCTTTTAAAAAGACAAGCACAATCTTTTAAAGAAATATTAAACAGTTTACATTTTATAATAAAAATGACTCCGAAATTCTATATAAAGAGAGACGGAGAGAGACAGCATTTTGAAAGAGACAGAAAGACAAGAGAATCAAAGAGTGTTGTTGTTGCAATGAGGTTATACAGATGTTTGGTTTTTGGGTTGGTGTGTGTGTGTTTGAGTTTGGTGAGTGAAGGAGAAGAAGATGGGTTGTCGGGTTGCAACATGTACGAAGGAGAGTGGGTGTGGGATGATTCTTATCCTCTTTATGACTCTGCAAAATGTCCTCACCTTCGTTCTCAGTTTGATTGCTCCAAATTTGGCCGTCCTGATCATTTTTATCTCAAATACAGATGGCAACCCTCCAAATGCAACTTACCAAGGTACACCATTTTCGCTTCCCTTCAAATCGTAAAAAAAATCGATTTTGTAAGATTGGATTAATTTAACTAAGTCGACGTTGTAAGGTTGAGTTTGTGTAAAAAAATCGATTTTGTAAGATTAAATTAATTTAACTAAGTCGATGTTGTAAGGTTGAATTTGTGTAAATATGATCAATTTTTTTTGTGCTTTTTATCAAATGATATTAGTCGTTAGTATTTTCTTATTAGAGAAAAATGATCTCATTGTCTCTTCCACCAACTTTAGTTAAAAAAGAATTGAATAATGACACTCTTACTTTTCTTTTTAACTTTCTCTTGCAAGTTCATTTGAATTTTTATATGAGAAATTTTCTTGCTTTTGTTTATGTCAAAAATCAATTTTCAAAGTTTTTACAAATTAATTTTGTAATATTGAGTTTTTTTTGTTAATATTAAGTTTATATGATCACATAATTTTTTGTCAACTTTTTTTTTATGTATCAATTTCAATTTTGGTATGTTAGAAATGTCACCTCGACTAGAATAAAAGTCGATTTATAATATATAAATGAATACAAATCTTATTTTATAAGTTGATTTTGTGAGGTTGAATCACGCTTAAAGTTTACTTTTAATTAATCTTTAATTTCTTTTGCATTTTTCTCGTTTTAATATTTAACTTTCGAAAATCACTACATAACTAAATAAAATAATTAGTGAAGTTTTATGTTAAAGAGCGATTAGATTAAGGAATGAATGAATCTGTTTTGATTTTGATGAGTCACGGGTGAGAGCATTGTGTAATGATGTTTGAAACTCACATGGAGAAGAATGAAAACACAGCTCATGTACATTTCATGCCAGGATAGGGACATACATACATCCACACACAATATATTTATTATCTTATTAATAGTGCTTTTATTTTTCATTCTTTCAATGTAAAATCATTGGTTTTTTTAGAGTTTTTCTTGAAAAAAAAAAATTATTCCTAATAATACAAGTATTGGATGATTTTACATGTGACTAATATTTTTAGGAAAATTTAAGTGTCATTTTTTTTTCACAATATTGGTTGTTTTATAGGGCTGTTAAAGAATAACTTATAAAAAATTAATTTAATATTTATAAGAATTTATTATTGTTATAATTATTATTAATTTTAAATTCATTAGTGAAACTTAATTTATATGCATAAGCGTTTAATTATAACTCGATAATGCATTTATGAGATTTACGTTATATCTTTTTATGCATTTATTAATTAGTATTATACATTTAAATCCACTGATGAAACTTAAAATAAGAATTTATTATTCATAAGTTATTTTGAACGCAATTTTCATTTTTAACATTTGAAAAGTGATCCGAAATTCTGAATATGATAAAAATAGCCTTTTGCAGATTTGATGGGAAAGAGTTTTTGACAAAACTGAGGGGGAAGCAGATCATGTTTGTAGGAGATTCAGTGAGTCTCAACCAATGGCAATCACTGATTTGTTTGCTTCATTCTTTTTTGCCTCAAACTCAAATATTGGATGAGCTTGATAAGCTAGTCTATAACTACACATTCCCGGTAAGTCACATTCCAAAAATAAATAAATAAATTATCTTTCTAAATTATTTAATCCAAACACAACATAAAGAAACTTGACGTAAGATAATCTTCTTACCTAAATAGATGGTGCGCATGATCATACTTACTTTTGGGCAACTAATGGTTGATGTTAACAATGGTATGGATGTCAAAATGATCCTCCATATGGTACCACTATTACTATTGTGGTCGTCAATGTTGCATATGGCTTTCCACTACAAGCATGGAATTTTGGTATAAAAAATACATTCTAAATCAATTCTTGAATTCATTGACGTATAAAAAGTCTCATTTTTTTAATAAATTATTTGTTTTGGATCCAACCCAATACCTGTAATACAATAAGTAATTTCCAACCACACAATTTGAGCAACAACAAAACACTTATAATAACTATGCGTATAATGAAACTTCTAAAATGATTTATAAAATCATAACAAACAATTTATTTTAAAATTATTAAAATTACCAATGCTTAAAAATATTTGTCCAAATTAATGTTATTAAAATATATCATAAATTAAACAAATAGAATGGTGAGATACCTACTTGTATGTAGTATATAATATGTTTGTTCAATCATATTATACTAAACTATGTGCAATATCATAAACAATATAGGCCATAAGTTGCATAAAACAAGAATAATTTGTAAAAAAATTTAGTTTCTCATTATTCAAACTTCATTCCCTCCCTTTTAAAGATCTTTGATTCAAGATCAATACATATTAACTTTTGGTAACAAATTACAAATATTAATCAAAATAAATATCTATTCTTTTGGTAACATAATAAACGCACACATTTATAAGATACAAATGATTAAATAAAAAAGAAAAATAATAATAAAATATCTATTTGATAATATCATATTTGGAATCTTATTTTAGAGAAACAATAAGAAGAATAATAATTTCAACTGCAAAAAAAAGTAATAATAAAGTCAAAGAATCTCCTTGATAAAGAATAATCACATAAAGATAAAGTTAACCCATATATTATATGTATAATGCTTACCTAACGAATTAATTTGTCTGATGTACCAATAATTAATAGTTAATATTAATATAAAAGTATAATTGTTTGAACTCATGTACTTTCCTATCTCTCTCCAAAATTCCTAATTTGTTTCCATATCATCTTTGTTCTTTGTTATAAAAAGAAAATAATTAACATAATTCCTGTTTTTTACTAATTCAATAATCAGTATAAAATACTTTTTTTAAACAGTGTAAAAAAAACTTTTATGTACTAATAATTGTTAATAGTTGTTAGAGTGTCATGCTGCATGTGAAATTGAGATTTTTTTTTATAAACCACCACATGTGAAATTAGAAAATAGAAAACACTTTCATTTAATTTAATCTTACAAATTGGCTTTTAAATAAAAATAAAATCTTATTTATATACGAAATCAATATTATTTTTTGACTAGTGTCAAGCTTTTCAGAGACTACAAAATTCAAAATAATTAGCACTGGTATATGTTAACAATGATTAATACTTTCAACATGACAGCGCATTGACTCTTGAACAAGTTTATTTAATTAAACAACATCGAACCGATTCAAGATTTATTTAGTTAAAATATATCGGTAATCTTAAATTTAAGACTTATATTTTGTAAATCTTTATTAAACTATATTCATATGGCACGAAAAAAAGCGGTAAATTTACTTTTGAATTTTAAATAGGATCCGTGTTTTATGATTATTATTTTTTTCAATCTTAGCAAAATGTAATAGATTAATTATTTAATTTAAAATTCCAAATAGTTTAAAATCAAAAGAATTATAAACAAGTACAAAACTTACAAGAAAGTGTTAAAAAGGATATTATATGATGAGATTGTTAAAAGTAAAACAAGACTTAAAATTATAACATTATGAATTAAATTACAATCGAGACAAAATAGAAATCTTAAAATTAAACATAAATGATAAAGGTGGTTTTAATCAGTACTATTTTGTTCTACCTAAATTATACAATTGAGATTATTTTGAGCATTCCATATATGAAGATGGCGAAAAGGGTTTTAATTAATTTTATATTGATTACATTAAAATGTANTATTTATTTGATACATATTAAAAAAGTAAAATAATTATAAAAAATAAATTAATGTACTTTAAAAAAAAGAATAATAATATTAAATAAATATGAAAAATTTGTGTATGAAAATATCTCTCTAGTCTCTAGTTATTTAATGTATAGTGAAATATAAATTGTGTTTTGAACTAATATACATACATATTACATTACTTCTAATAGTAACCGATGTAATAAGTACAGCATACTATATTCCTTATATAATAAGTACAACATACTATATTAGTTATATATGCAGTTTATACATATTACATGTATCGACGTTTCTTTAAATTTATCCGTGATGTTGCATGACTTCTCAATATACTAGATTACTTATATATGAACATTGCAAATATTAATTTTTGTACGGTTCGGTATTAAGTTTCTCAACATAATTCTCCCTCTAGTGGAAAACTTAAAAAAAAAAAGTGACATTTTGATTGTAGAAACATCATATTTTACATTGTAGTTCAAACAACATATGTAGAATGTCATTTGTACATTGGTGGTAAGTTAGAATCGACGTAAAATGTTAGTCAGATTTATAATTGAAGTTGAAAATACATTCTTTACTAATTCATAAATTGATTGAAAAACATAGATGTCATGGATGTAGAATATTTAAAATAAATGATGTAAAAAAAAGATTTAATTAGTTCTTTAGTCGAAGATTTACTTATTTTTTTTCAATAGATTCCTATTTTTTATTTTGTTTCAAATGAATTTTAAATTTTATTAAAACATGTCAATCATATCTTAATTACCAACTGTATTAAAATAGTTAAAGATAAATTTATAAAATATGTTTATTTGATACTTGATACATATTTTTGACATGGATTGACTCAACTTGTTTATTGACCCATGTCGACTCGATGCAACCTTTGGTCTTAATCGACTCAACTTAACTTTCGGTCTAGGTTGACTTAGTCTGACCTTTGTCCAAGGTTGTCTAAGTTCAATCTTTATCCTAGATCATCTTGGCTTGATCTGCGTTTTCTGATAGACTCGACTCGACATGCAACTTGGTTAATATTGACTTGACCTCTGACTTGACCGACTCAACTTGATCTTTGGTTTGACTGACTCAACTCGATCTTTAGTTTATGCCAAATCAGTTTGACTTCAGACCTATGCCAACTTGGATTGACCTACGTTTCCATCGACTCAGCTCAACATTTAACCTGGATAGACCCGACTTGACATTTGATTTGAGCCAATTGACCTCGAACTTCAACCTAGGCTAAATCGAATCAACTTTGAGCCAAAGTCGATTTGATTGACCCTTCAGCTCGAGCCACCTCAACTAAGCCTTCAAACTGTGTTGACTCAATTGAGCCTTTAAGTTGAACCGACTTAACTCGACCTTTGTGAACATAATGATAATAGAGTTAAATTTCAAATTTTTTACACTTTTAAAATATTTAAAATTCTTTTTATTTCATTTATTTAAAATATTTTCCAAAATTCTTTAAATTTGAATTTATTTCTAATTATTTTATCCAAAAATAAATAAATAAATTATCTTTCTAAATTATTTAATCCAAACACAACATAAAGAAACTTGACGTAAGATAATCTTCTTACCTAAATAGATGGTGCGCATGACCATACTTATTTTTGGGCAACTAATGGTTGATGTTAACAATAGTATGGATGTCAAAATGATCCTCCATATGGTGCCACTATTACCATTGTGGTCGTCAATGTTGCATATGGCTTTCCACTACAAGCATGGAATTTTGGTATAAAAAATACATTCTAAATCAATTCTTGAATTCATTGACGTATAAAAAGTCTCATTTTTTTAATAAATTATTTGTTTTGGATCCAACCCAATACCTGTAATACAATAAGTAATTTCCAACCACACAATTTGAGCAACAACAAAACACTTATAATAACTATGCGTATAATGAAACTTCTAAAATGATTTATAAAATCATAACAAACAATTTATTTTAAAATTATTAAAATTACCAATGCTTAAAAATATTTGTCCAAATTAATGTTATTAAAATATATCATAAATTAAACAAATAGAATGGTGAGATACCTACTTGTATGTAGTATATAATATGTTTGTTCAATCATATTATACTAAACTATGTGCAATATCATAAACAATATAGGCCATAAGTTGCATAAAACAAGAATAATTTGTAAAAAAATTTAGTTTCTCATCATTCAAACTTCATTCCCTCCCTTTTAAAGATCTTTGATTCAAGATCAATACATATTAACTTTTGGTAACAAATTACAAATATTAATAAAAATAAATATCTATTCTTTTGGTAACATAATAAACGCACACATTTATAAGATACAAATGATTAAATAAAAAAGAAAAATAATAATAAAATATCTATTTGATAATATCATATTTGGAATCTTATTTTAGAGAAACAATAAGAAGAATAATAATTTCAACTGCAAAAAAAAGTAATAATAAAGTCAAAGAATCTCCTTGATAAAGAATAATCACATAAAGATAAAGTTAACCCATATATTATATGTATAATGCTTACCTAACGAATTAATTTGTCTGATGTACCAATAATTAATAGTTAATATTAATCTAAAAGTATAATTGTTTGAACTCATGTACTTTCCTATCTCTCTCCAAAATTCTTAATCTGTTTTCATATCATCTTTATTCTTTGTTGTGTCTATCCACAATACATAAAAAGAATAGGCTTAAGACCCTATTTTGTTCCCAATTTCACTCGACGTTAATAGAAGAGAGAGAAATAATTAAAGCCGTTTGTACGAATTTAACGAAAGAGATTTCATTCATTTTATTAAATAGGGACGTAATTGACGCACGTTTTAAAGGATGGACTAATTTAACATTTTCGAGCGAAACTGGGGACAAAATAAGGTATTAAGCCAAAAGAAAATAATTAACATAGTTTGTTGGAGTGAAGNTTAATCTTTAATTTCTTTTGCATTTTTCTCGTTTTAATATTTAACTTTCGAAAATCACTACATAACTAAATAAAATAATTAGTGAAGTTTTATGTTAAAGAGCGATTAGATTAAGGAATGAATGAATCTGTTTTGATTTTGATGAGTCACGGGTGAGAGCATTGTGTAATGATGTTTGAAACTCACATGGAGAAGAATGAAAACACAGCTCATATACATTTCATGCCAGGATAGGGACATACATACATCCACACACAATATATTTATTATCTTATTAATAGTGCTTTTATTTTTCATTCTTTCAATGTAAAATCATTGGTTTTTTTAGAGTTTTTCTTGAAAAAAAAAAATTATTCCTAATAATACAAGTATTGGATGATTTTACATGTGACTAATATTTTTAGGAAAATTTAAGTGTCATTTTTTTTTCACAATATTGGTTGTTTTATAGGGCTGTTAAAGAATAACTTATAAAAAATTAATTTAATATTTATAAGAATTTATTATTGTTATAATTATTATTAATTTTAAATTCATTAGTGAAACTTAATTTATATGAATAAGCGTTTAATTATAACTCGATAATGCATTTATGAGATTTACGTTATATCTTTTTATGCATTTATTAATTAGTATTATACATTTAAATCCACTGATGAAACTTAAAATAAGAATTTATTATTCATAAGTTATTTTGAACGCATTGATAAACCTTAATTTAATCCTCCCGGCAACCTAAACTTTGAGCCAAATTTAGAAACAGTGATACATGTTTGAGTAATTTTCATTTTTAACATTTGAAAAGTGATCCGAAATTCTGAATATGATAAAAATAGCCTTTTACAGATTTGATGGGAAAGAGTTTTTGACAAAACTGAGGGGGAAGCAGATCATGTTTGTAGGAGATTCAGTGAGTCTCAACCAATGGCAATCACTAATTTGCTTGCTTCATTCTTTTTTGCCTCAAACTCAAATATTGGATGAGCTTGATAAGCTAGTCTATAACTACACATTCCCGGTAAGTCACATGTCCACTTTTTCAGAAGGATAATGATACTTTAACAACATTTTTTAGACAACATTTTAATATCATTTACGTGTTTTTCTATGATTGGTCCAAAATTACTCTACAATCAATAATAATAATCATAAGACCAATCACAGAATAACACGTAATGTTAAAATGTTGTCATGTTATCAAAATATCATTATCTTTTTTAGAATTCTGATAACTTTCTTATTGGAAGTCTCGATGACCAGAAATAAGACGAATATATATAATATAGAGATAAAATTAATATATAATATATAAGTGGGTGCAATTTTAATCTTTCAAGTTGATTTTGTAGAATTGAATTAGGTTTAAAAATGACTATTTTTTTTCACTTGCTGCTGCAGGACTACCAAGTTTCAGTGTTCGTTTATCATTCCACACATTTGGTTGACATTGAAGAGGAAAAAATTGGTCGAGTTCTGAAGCTGGATTCCATCAAGAGTGGAAGCATATGGAAAAACATGGACATTCTGGTTTTCAACACTTGGCTTTGGTGGTATCGCACAGGACCCAAGCAACCGTAAGATCTCTTCAAAATCGTTTCATCTTTGCTATCACAGCTTTCTGCAGACACATTAACAGCTTAAAATAACTGATATACAAGTTAAAAATAATCTTTTTGAAGAACTTAAATATTTTATTTTGTGCAGCAGAAGCTGTGATTCTGATAGTAGTTAAGGATTAACTGTACCCTTTTGTTTGTTCTGCAGATGGGNATCCAAAAATAAATAAATAAATTATCTTTCTAAATTATTTAATCCAAACACAACATAAAGAAACTTGACGTAAGATAATCTTCTTACCTAAATAGATGGTGCGCATGAACATACTTAATTTTGGGCAACTAATGGTTGATGTTAACAATAGTATGGATGTCAAAATGATCCTCCATATGGTACCACTATTACAATTGTGGTCGTCAATGTTGCATATGGCTTTCCACTACAAGCATGGAATTTTGGTATAAAAAATACATTCTAAATCAATTCTTGAATTCATTGACGTATAAAAAGTCTCATTTTTTTAATAAATTATTTGTTTTGGATCCAACCCAATACCTGTAATACAATAAGTAATTTCCAACCACACAATTTGAGCAACAACAAAACACTTATAATAACTATGCGTATAATGAAACTTCTAAAATGATTTATAAAATCATAACAAACAATTTATTTTAAAATTATTAAAATTACCAATGCTTAAAAATATTTGTCCAAATTAATGTTATTAAAATATATCATAAATTAAACAAATAGAATGGTGAGATACCTACTTGTATGTAGTATATAATATGTTTGTTCAATCATATTATACTAAACTATGTGCAATATCATAAACAATATAGGCCATAAGTTGCATAAAACAAGAATAATTTGTAAAAAAATTTAGTTTCTCATAATTCAAACTTCATTCCCTCCCTTTTAAAGATCTTTGATTCAAGATCAATACATATTAACTTTTGGTAACAAATTACAAATATTAATAAAAATAAATATCTATTCTTTTGGTAACATAATAAACGCACACATTTATAAGATACAAATGATTAAATAAAAAAGAAAAATAATAAGAATAAAATATCTATTTGATAATATCATATTTGGAATCTTATTTTAGAGAAACAATAAGAAGAATAATAATTTCAACTGCAAAAAAAAGTAATAATAAAGTCAAAGAATCTCCATGATAAAGAATAATCACATAAAGATAAAGTTAACCCATATATTATATGTATGATGCTTACCTAACGAATTAATTTGTCTGATGTACCAATAATTAATAGTTAATATTAATCTAAAAGTATAATTGTTTGAACTCATGTACTTTCCTATCTCTCTCCAAAATTCTTAATCTGTTTTCATATCATCTTTATTCTTTGTTGTGTCTATCCACAATACATAAAAAGAATAGGCTTAAGACCCTATTTTGTTCCCAATTTCACTCGACGTTAATAGAAGAGAGAGAAATAATTAAAGCCGTTTGTACGAATTTAACGAAAGAGATTTCATTCATTTTATTAAATAGGGACGTAATTGACGCACGTTTTAAAGGATGGACTAATTTAACATTTTCGAGCGAAACTGGGGACAAAATAAGGTATTAAGCCAAAAGAAAATAATTAACATAGTTTGTTGGAGTGAAGCTTTTTTATATTGATTGTTTTTTCAATTAAAATAAAAATTCTGGATTATATATTGTTACTCATGTGCTGCATGTGAAATTGATATTTTTTTTTTATAAACCACATGTGAAATTAGAAAATAGAAAACACTTTCATTTCATTTAATCTTACAAATTGGCTTTTAAATAAAAATAACATCTTATTTATATACGAAATCAATATTATTTTTTGACTAGTGTCAAACTTTTCTGAGACGACAAAATTCAAAATAATTGAGCACTGGTATATGTTAACAATGATTAATACTTTCAACATGACAGCGCATTGACTCTTGAACAAGTTTATTTAATTAAACAACATCGAACTGATTCAAGATTTATTTAGTTAAAATATATCGGTAATCTTAAATTTAAGACTTATATTTTATAAATCTTTATTAAACTATATTCATATGACACGAAAAAAAGTGGTAAATTTACTTTTGAATTTTAAATAGGATCCGTGTTTTATGATTATTATTTTTTTCAATCTTAGCAAAATGTAATAGATTAATTATTTAAATTTAAAATTCCAAAGTGTAATTAGAAAAATTATACAAAACTTACAAGAAAATGTTAAAAATGATATTATACGATGAGATTGTTAAAAGTAAAATAAGACTTAATTACAAGAAACATTCAAAATAATCTTTTAAAAATTAAGTTCTGTAATATTTAATTAGACTACAATAATATCAGGCATATATAAAATCAATATAATTCAACCGATAAAATCGTGAATTTTCTAAAATCATAGAACTAAAGAAAAGAAAATATAAAAAAGACCAAAATAACATTATGAATTAAATTACAATTGAGACAAAATAGAAATCTTAAAATTAAACATAAATGATAAAGGTGGTTTTAACCTAAATTATACAATTGAGATTATTTTGAGCATTCCATATATGAAGATGGCGAAAAGGGTTTTAATTAATTTTATATTGATTACATTAAAATGTAAAGCTTTTAAAAAGACAAGCACAATCTTTTAAAGAAATATTAAACAGTTTACATTTTATAATAAAAATGACTCCGAAATTCTATATAAAGAGAGACGGAGAGAGACAGCATTTTGAAAGAGACAGAAAGACAAGAGAATCAAAGAGTGTTGTTGTTGCAATGAGGTTATACAGATGTTTGGTTTTTGGGTTGGTGTGTGTGTGTTTGAGTTTGGTGAGTGAAGGAGAAGAAGATGGGTTGTCGGGTTGCAACATGTACGAAGGAGAGTGGGTGTGGGATGATTCTTATCCTCTTTATGACTCTGCAAAATGTCCTCACCTTCGTTCTCAGTTTGATTGCTCCAAATTTGGCCGTCCTGATCATTTTTATCTCAAATACAGATGGCAACCCTCCAAATGCAACTTACCAAGGTACACCATTTTCGCTTCCCTTCAAATCGTAAAAAAAATCGATTTTGTAAGATTGGATTAATTTAACTAAGTCGACGTTGTAAGGTTGAGTTTGTGTAAAAAAATCGATTTTGTAAGATTAAATTAATTTAACTAAGTCGATGTTGTAAGGTTGAATTTGTGTAAATATGATCAATTTTTTTTGTGCTTTTTATCAAATGATATTAGTCGTTAGTATTTTCTTATTAGAGAAAAATGATCTCATTGTCTCTTCCACCAACTTTAGTTAAAAAAGAATTGAATAATGACACTCTTACTTTTCTTTTTAACTTTCTCTTGCAAGTTCATTTGAATTTTTATATGAGAAATTTTCTTGCTTTTGTTTATGTCAAAAATCAATTTTCAAAGTTTTTACAAATTAATTTTGTAATATTGAGTTTTTTTTGTTAATATTAAGTTTATATGATCACATAATTTTTTGTCAACTTTTTTTTTATGTATCAATTTCAATTTTGGTATGTTAGAAATGTCACCTCGACTAGAATAAAAGTCGATTTATAATATATAAATGAATACAAATCTTATTTTATAAGTTGATTTTGTGAGGTTGAATCACGCTTAAAGTTTACTTTTAATTAATCTTTAATTTCTTTTGCATTTTTCTCGTTTTAATATTTAACTTTCGAAAATCACTACATAACTAAATAAAATAATTAGTGAAGTTTTATGTTAAAGAGCGATTAGATTAAGGAATGAATGAATCTGTTTTGATTTTGATGAGTCACGGGTGAGAGCATTGTGTAATGATGTTTGAAACTCACATGGAGAAGAATGAAAACACAGCTCATGTACATTTCATGCCAGGATAGGGACATACATACATCCACACACAATATATTTATTATCTTATTAATAGTGCTTTTATTTTTCATTCTTTCAATGTAAAATCATTGGTTTTTTTAGAGTTTTTCTTGAAAAAAAAAAATTATTCCTAATAATACAAGTATTGGATGATTTTACATGTGACTAATATTTTTAGGAAAATTTAAGTGTCATTTTTTTTTCACAATATTGGTTGTTTTATAGGGCTGTTAAAGAATAACTTATAAAAAATTAATTTAATATTTATAAGAATTTATTATTGTTATAATTATTATTAATTTTAAATTCATTAGTGAAACTTAATTTATATGCATAAGCGTTTAATTATAACTCGATAATGCATTTATGAGATTTACGTTATATCTTTTTATGCATTTATTAATTAGTATTATACATTTAAATCCACTGATGAAACTTAAAATAAGAATTTATTATTCATAAGTTATTTTGAACGCAATTTTCATTTTTAACATTTGAAAAGTGATCCGAAATTCTGAATATGATAAAAATAGCCTTTTGCAGATTTGATGGGAAAGAGTTTTTGACAAAACTGAGGGGGAAGCAGATCATGTTTGTAGGAGATTCAGTGAGTCTCAACCAATGGCAATCACTGATTTGTTTGCTTCATTCTTTTTTGCCTCAAACTCAAATATTGGATGAGCTTGATAAGCTAGTCTATAACTACACATTCCCGGTAAGTCACATATCCACTTTTTCAGAAGGATAATGATACTTTAACAACATTTTTTAGACAACATTTTAATATCATCTACGTGTCTTTCTATGATTGGTCCAAAATTACTCTACAATCAATAATAATAATCATAGGACCAATCACAGAATAACACATAATGTTGTCATGTTGTCATGTTGTCAAAATATCATTATCTTTTTCAGAATTCTGATAACTTTCTTATTGGAAGTCTCGATGACCAGAAATAAGACGAATATATATAATATAGAGATAAAATTAATATATAATATATAAGTGGGTGCAATTTTCATCTTTCAAGTTGATTTTGTAGAATTGAATTAGGTTTAAAAATGACTTTTTTTTTTCACTTGCTGCTGCAGGACTACCAAGTTTCAGTGTTCGTTTATCATTCCACACATTTGGTTGACATTGAAGAGGAAAAAATTGGTCGAGTTCTGAAGCTGGATTCC